ATATAGTATAAAATTAATTATACACACACACACACACACTGACACACATATATATATATGCTTATTTACATACATATTCACATACATATGTGCATACTTATATACGTATACACATACATACGTACGTACATACAGACGTAGGTACGTACGCACATGTATACATACATGTACAGACATAAATATTAACAGCGTATCTCCATATGGAAGTGGGACATATAGGTCTGCGTAAAAACCGTGAAACGAACGATATCGCTATGGTCCGCACAGATATCGTGAAGTACTCACGAGAAATTTAGCCACCGCTCACAAACATAGCACAGTCCAAATATAGGTGTTATAGTCGTGATGTAATTTGTGAAATATCTTCAGTATAAGCGTGTCCAGACCGTTCTACAGAGTCAGACTGAGAGTGTGAGATGTCGCGAGGTGTGGGCAAGGCGGCCCATTGAATCCGATACGTACTGATACATGACAAAACCCCACAGGGTATGTGTCTTATTTTCTAACGGGGTCTAATATTATTTTTTCACAGTTGATTATAATATATGACCCGGTCGCAGGCATTGTGGTCGCAGTCTTTAAGACATTTCAAATATGTCTAAATAAAAAAATGTGGACATGCTTTTTATAGTCAGCTAAACATTGTTTTATTTAGTAGGCTATGAGCTAAAATATAGTAATAAACATGTATGCCGTTATTGCCCGGGGGTGGAGTAGCTAAAACCCAGAACCCTAAAATCAAATGCCACGGAACTATTTCAGACCCTTATTTCTTTTAAAAAATAATAGCTGGCCTGGTAAACGACAAAGACATGTCCTGTTTTTATATATATAAAACAAACAAACTAGACCCGTGACCCGTCTCGCGGACATGTCGGGGTAAACAAAACAGTATTAGAACCAACAATCTATGTAGTATATATCAGACGGTCTCGACACGTCGTCATAGTATCGTACATAGCAAGTTGTGCTGTCGTATACCAGGTCATTTTATTAGGGGAGGTCTATAAAATATTGGGATTATAGAAAACACTCCGAGAGTCTGACTCCAAAAACTAAAGTGATCTGTAGGTCCAATCATCTCTGCCTATTGCGCAAAACCCCACTTCAGTTCCTCACAAACCTGGGATTCTAAATCTATTCTTCTATCGGTGTCAGGTGTGGTTGCTATAATCTAATGAGGAAAGTGCACACAACCTTTCTACATTCCGTAGGCCTGCCTTGCACTTTTTGCCCTTGCTCCTTCGCAAGAGAAGTACAGAGCACTACTATACACATGTGCATTGATTTGTATACCATATAGTATATAGTGAGGTTAACCTGTGATGTGTTGACATGGACAATTAATGAACTGGGATTTTAGAAGTAGAAAAGCTAAACTGCTGCTGACTGCTAGGTACAAACATTTTTGTACCACCAATGCGATCCGTCATCTAAAGTATATATATATCCGTTAGCGCGAACGCGTTACTACTGTTATTCGGTTCTAACACTACTGCTATTCGGTTCTAACACAGCTACCGTTAATGTCTGATACTATGAGGCGCTCCCAGTTTGATAGCCTTAAGGGTCTAGTGGTAAAGGCCTTGCTCTTCACGTCATTGTGTAGCTCAGTCGAAGCGCTGTCAATCGACACTAGGGATAATTTAATTGCACATAACCTGATAGAATCATTGATACAAGATACAAACAGGCTCAATCACCGTGTGCAGCATGTGCTACAAGAAAAGGACTCCGAACACAACCTACACAGAAGAGAGGATGGCAGCATGGCGTGTCCTGTGTGCGCACTGCCGGTCACAGCCGAGAACTCGTACCTTAGTATCAAAAAAGCCAAACAGAAATTATACGCCTGCAGCGTAGAACACGCACAACTGCTGTTTGACAGTCCTATGGACTACGCCGATGACACACTGCCTACCACTACCCGGTAGGTCAAATAGCATCATACATAGCCTGTAGCGTACCGTGTATGTTATGATCCACTTGTTCAAGGCAATGGTTGATCATTGTGCACAGATCACGACGAGAAAGAAATCTAAAACTTGTACATATTTTTGA